AATCAGAGTGTATATTTCCATTGAGTCTTAGTCTTGGAAGGGCCCATTCATTTTAAGAATGGATAATTCATTTAAAGAGCAGTCATAAATAGAGAGGGGTGAAAGCCCATGCTAAGGTTACTTGCCTGAAAGTCAAGAGAGCAAGAAGAACACATTAAGAACAACAGGTCAACGTGGGGTTCACAGCCTGCAACATATCAGGCTTGCTTGAAAAGAAAAAGGAGGTGACAACTCAACACAGTGTATGATCCTGATTAGATTCCTAAGCTGGGCTGGGTGGGGGTGTGGGTTTGCTAAATAGAACATGTGGACAATTAGTGAAACGAGAATGAGTTCTACACATCTGAAACTATTACTGAATCAATGTTAAATTCCCCAAACTTGATCATCATATTGTGGTTATCTAAGAGCTGCTCTAAGGAAATAAAAAGTATTGATGCATTTAGTGATAGGGCATGATGTTACCATTAACCCAAATAGTTTGGGGAGGGGGGAACAAGTGTATGATACGTATGTATTTAAAAACTGTATGCATAGGAATGTGTGTGTTTGTATGTGTTATCTACACCTACCTACTTATCATCTAGAGAAAGAATATGATAGGACAAATGCTGCCAAATGTTAACAAATAGTGAATTTAGGTGAAGTATACATATACCGACTCCATGGCATACCACCACCACCACCACCATACATATACAGGAGTCCTGGTGTGGCGCTGTGGGTTAATGTACCAGACTGCAAAGCTGTTTGAACTGCAAGACTGGCAGTTCAAGTTTACAAGCTGCTCCTCGGAAACCCTATACAGGGTTACTATGGGTTGGAACCAACTTGACGGCACTTAACAACACACACACACACGTATATATATCTATCTCCTGGTGTGGCACTGTGGGTTAATGTGCTGGACTGAAAAGTCAGTTTGAACCATAAGGTTGGTGGTTCAAGCTCACTAGCCACTTCCTGGAAACCCTATACAGGGTCCACATGGGTTGGAACCAACTCCATGGCACTTAACAACAACAATAACATACATATACTGCAATTCTTTCTACATTTCTGCTGGCTTTCTGTTAAAATGAAATTATTTCACAATAAAATACTTAATAAAGAAAAGAAAGAACTGGTGGGTATTTTGTTTTGAGTGACATGAAAGTAGAATAGTCAGGAGACAAATAACAGTTGATACAGTAATTTACTAGAGTCTATACTGTGCCAGCAATTCACTTTGAGGTCACTGAAGTAACTTTCACGTGTTATCACCAAAAGTAAACGTCTGTCACTGCCACTGGAGTGTAGGGATATGAAGGTCCTCTAGCCTACCTAGACTCATCACCACAGTGTCCCTCAACAGTGATTGGATACTTCCTGCTGAAAAATGTCTAATGATGGCCTTCAAATGATGAAGAACTCTCACACAAATAAGTGCTTTCTGTTACTTCTGAAACAATCAGTTCAGGATAGAGTATAACTTAACTATGATGTCAAAGTCATGCATTGTGTGTCTGATCTTGCCTGGGTTCCAAGGATCCTGTGCCTCACACAGGGCGGAGCTGCTGCTGATCTGGGAAAGAAACTGGACACTGTATCTAAGACCACCCACTATAGAGTTTATCAAAGGATTCATGCTTAGCTCTAAGAATTTATGATTACTATTATTGAGAATTTGTGATTACTAATACTGTTAATGCCAACTCTCTTTTAGTAGACTGGCCTCTGCTAATCCTCTAAATGTGAGCTAACTAATAGTTCCATTCTCCCTATGCTCATGTTGTTCCCATCCCTAAAATGCTCTCATCACCTGGACCTGCCAATTCTGCCTACCCGTCCAAGGCAGGGCTCAGCCACAGCTGCTCTTTCTCCGCCTCTCCTCTCTTCTGTACCTCCATAGTGCTTTCTCAGTCACATTTACAGCTATATTTTATTCATCTGTTGTCTACACAGTGACTTCTACCTTGCTTTTATAATGCTGAGTAGACATGAAAACTGCTTCTCAAATATATGCACAGCCCTCCCTAAAAATGCCCTGGTCTGCTGCTCTCCCATCTTGCCACTCATAGATCTCACCCTGCTTACATAGTAGCTTGTTTACTTACATATCCAACATCTTCAATTCAATATGGCACAGACTTTAAATAAGCATCAAAGCTATACTCGACTTGTTTAAGTTTCACTCAGTTAAGATTTGTCACACTTGTAACAGGGCAGATGAAGCATGCCAGGCAGCTGTTGTTCTAATTCTCTAATTTGAGGTTCCCTCTTCAGTGACTAAGGAACCCTGGTGGTGCCATAGGACTGCTAGCCTCAATGTGGGCATTTCAAATCTGGTAGGTGGGAGCAAGATAAAGCGTTCTGCTCTTGTAAAGACTTACAGTCTCAGAAACCTTATACAGGGTCACTCTAAGTCGGAATCTACTCGATGGTCGTGGATATGTTGGGTTTCCAATGACTAAAGAGCCCTGATGGTATAATGGGTGAAGTATTAGGCTGTTAACTGCAAGATTTGAAGTTCAAACCACTAGCTGCTCTGTTATAAGGTGTGGTAGTCTGCTCTTGAAAACATCTACAGCCTCGGAAGCTCTAAGGAACAGTTTACGGTAGCGTGATGGTTACAAATCAGGCTGGGAACCACAAGGTCAGCAGTTTGAAACTACCAGCTGTTCCGCAGGAGAAAGATGAGGCTTTCTGCTCCCATAAAGATTTACAGCCTTGGAAACCCTGTACAGGTTCGCTATGAGTCAGAACCGACTCCACGGCACACAGCCACCATGAGTTGGAATCTGCTAGGCTGCCTTATCAAAGAAGCACAGCCTTCAGGGAACTCCTTAAAAAGGAAGATAAAAGGAGCAAGACTGACACTTAATAAAAGCAGCAAGCCACTCACCTGGGCTACTGCACTGCTGTTCTGTTCTACGAGGAGGCTTCAAAAAGTTCATGGAAAAATAGAATGAAAAGATCATGGATTTTCTCTACCAACTTCTAGAAGCCCACTTGTAGTCTCCTCTGATTTCCAAATTGTTTCCTTGAGGTTCTTTCTTCTTTTACAATAAGCATATATAACACTTATAACCAGAATGGTGAACTCTGGTATGTCAAGAAAAGTGTCTAGCAGTTTAGAAATACTTTCCATCAAGACAATTCTAAATTGTACAGTTCTGCCCGGAAACACCTCCCGAATGACTCATTCCCAGCCAGACAGTGCGTGTACTTTTACAGCGAATACTTTCAAGGCCAAATGTTGAGTACATTTGGAGGAAGACCAACTCATTTCCAGACACTCTTGACTTACCAACTCTGAACCAATCCCACCGAAGGCCGATTTAGTAAGTTGTCGGGCAGAAGATTGACTTCTCTCATCGTGTTCGCCAGGCGCACAGGAAGCTCCTTTCGGAGAAACATGTAGGAGGTTTTCTCACATGCATTATCTCTCCCTATGAAGAGAAGGAAAGGCTGCCAGGATTTCACAACGAAAAGATGGCATAAGAGCGAACTCTACTGGTAGCAGAGTTGCTGGCTGGAAGGAGAAAATGGAATAGAATAATCCTGTAGCTTCTGGTTAAATTTCTATCTTCTGAAATAGCAAGGGTTTTTTTTTGTCTTTTCCTTTTTGTTTTATTGTGATTTGGGAGAAAATTTACAAAGCAAATTACGTTCTTATTTAACAATTTCTATACATACTGCTCAAAGGAGACCTGGTAGTGAAGTAGATTACAATTTGGACTGCTAACCATAAGGTTGGCAGTTCAAAGCCACCAGCTGCTCCTCGGGAGAAAGATGAGGCTTTCTGCTTCTGTAAAGATTTACAGCCTTGGAAACCCTGTGCAGGGTCACTCAGCATCAGAACCAACTCCACGGCACACCACAACCACCACCATACATACCATTCACCATGTGTCGGCATTCCTATGAACTCCATTCTGGTGGCTCTGTTTTCATGCATTTCGTTAGCTTCCTTGTCCCCCTTTATCTTCTCATTTTTGATCTGGGGAATTGTGGGCGGAAGAGCATAGTACTCACAGGTGATATCTATTGTGTGAGTCAACCTGTCTCTTGGCTGATAGGTAGCTGACCACCAGCAAATTCAGTTTCAAATCGAAAGAACATCCCAGGGCAATAATCTTGGGAGTTCCTCCAATCTCTACCAATCCAGTAAACATGGCTTCTAATGAATTTGAGTTTTGTTCTACATTTTTCTCCCATTTTATCTGGGATCATCTATTGTATCCCTAGTCGGTATGGTTGGTAGCTGGGCACCATGTAGTTCACAAAATAAAAAAGTTTTAAGAAAATAATTGAAATAGAAAAATAACATTTGTTAAAAGGGGCAACCTTGAAAGCCATTGTTTTCAGAATGCAAATATGTTCCTAGTGTTACTGTGGCTTAAGTGCAATCGAGTTCGTTTCAAATCACAGCGACTCTATTTAGGATTTCCAAGGAGAGGCTGGTAGGTTTGAAACGCTGACCTTACCGGTTAACAGTCCAGTGCTTATCCTATTTCACTACACCAGGACTCCTTCCTAGTGTTATCCACAGCAATGTAAACATGACCCACTATATCACCTGAACTTGTTTTCAAAGAAACACTGTGGAAAAACTACCAAACACAAAAGTCCTAATGCATGCAAATCTACTCCTGACCACAGGGGTGCGCAGAAGGCAACAGATCCAGTGATTCCACATGCAGTCTCCTGTTGCTGCTGCTGTGGAGCGCTGTGGAGCCAATTCCGACTCACAGAAACGCTGTAGAGTAGGGTTTCCAAGGAGTGGCTGGTGAGCTTGAGCCTCCGACCTTGCGGTTCAAACCAGCCTTGCAGTCCAGCACATTAACCCAAAGCGAGTGCTACGTGTTTCCTAAGATTTTCTTCAAATGCGGTTCTTCTAGGACCACTCTGGGAAGTAGTCACTGGCTCCAGAGGCTCTGACCGAGACACAGGTAGAGACTTAGACCAGTGTCCACTCTAAAGGAGGCAGTCAAAAGGTTTCTGAAAGTTTCCCTACACTATTTTGATGGAAATTTACATAAGTAGGACACAATCAGAGAAAACATGACCAGAAATCTGGAAGGAGAAACCCAAGCTCCTTACCATGTTGCCACGTGACCAAACCAGTTCTAGAACTGGTCTTGTCCCTCAACCCCCAGCCCTGTACTATGATAGCTGGGGATGACAGAAAAGACATGGTGAGTTTGGGGGTCAGAAATGTATTCCAGGCCCATCTTCTCCATTTTGGAGTTGTGAAACCTTTGGTAAGCTTTTCACCCTTCTGAGTCTCAATGGCCTTATCTGTAAAATTAAGATAAAATTTTTAAGTAGTTTTTGTAAAGATTAAATGTGAAAACCTATATGAAGCCTGACACGGAGCAAGTGTTCAACACGCATTTGTCCTTTCTCTACTCTCCATGATGCTGATGGGTCCACCTCATCTCCTTCACATCCAAAAGACTTCCTGAGGTTCCCTAGTCCATCAGGGTAGGACCAACCCACCTAGCAATTTCCTTCTCTGAACTTGCTTTATTCTCCCACATGTGAGAAAGGCAGTAAAAGAAGAGATTCAGAGCTAAATCAGATTTTCTAACACTTTTAGCCAAGTTCGGGTTTATTCCTTTCCTCTCCCCACCGACTAAGACTTGAAATAAAGGAACAGACTCTTGACAGTCCTACTGACCTCTCTTTCTCCAGTTTGAGAAAAGTTAAGATAGCTGTGGTTAAAGGCTTACACAATCCATCCCTCATTCACAGTGGGTATATTGAATACCTTCATTAAACCTTTAATCCATGATTCAGTCTTTCACTTTTTCCTCTTAGCATCTTCACTGGGATGAGTAATTAATCCACAAAAATCCCCACTCCAAGCAATGGGGGAGGCTGCAATCCTCCAGCAACGGCCTTCCAACTCAAGGCACACTCATTTGGATTTGGATTATTAATTTTAAATGTTGTGGTTGTTGTTAAGTGCTGTCAAGTCGGTTCTGACCCATAGCGACCCTGTATAGAGTTTTTGAGGAGCAGCTGGTGAGCTTGAACCACTTTGGTTCAAATGACTTTGTAGCCCAGCACATTAACCCACAGCACCACACCAGGACTCCATTAATGTAAAATAGCTATGGTTATTTTAGGAGTCCTGGTGTGGCATAGTAGGATAAGCACTGGACTGCTTGCTACCCACTACTAGGTCATCAATTCAAACCCATCAGCTACTCAATAGGGGGCTTCAAAGAGTTTGTAGAAAAATGAAATAGAAAGATAATAGAATTTTTACACTAACTTTTTTTGAAGCCATCTTGTATATACTCATACACCTTTTCACCTTCCTGAAATCGAAAACCATTTCACTTCTGAAGCTGTCTAGCCCCATGAGTTTGAGAGAAGAGACTGTGGGCCTGGAACTTGCAGCTCACCCCTGCAAACTAACTGTTGCGTCTCATGGCTTTCCTCCCTCCCAAGCCTTCTCGTTCCATGTTGCTCATGTGCTGTGGATTTGGAAACTGAAACATGAATTTTCACTACTCCCAAGACTCTGACAACTTTTGAGAATTATGACTCTAGACTGATACTCCCAGTTGCTCTTCAGCACCAAAGGTTCTTCTTCTTCCTGTTAACTCCTTCCTCTCACAGTGAACTACCATCACTTCTTTCTTTCTTTTCTTAAAATTTTCTTTTGTATTTGGCCATGATACCAAGTATTTCTGTTGGTATGAGAAAATCTAGATTTACCTTTTAAATTGGACAATAGGATATACACTCGACTGCAACGTCAGTTTGAACCACAAGGTCGGCAGTTCAAGCTCACCAACCACTCCTCAGAAACCCTATACAGGGTCGCTATGAGTCAGAATTGACTCGAGGGCACTTAACAACAATGTATATTATAATAGACACAATCTGGAGTAAAATACCTTTCTATTAAGTAGGATACATACAGAGCCTCAAGTCAATTCAGGTCAGGTTTGCCACAAAATGAGTTTGGGCACCAGTTTTGGGGGAAAAAGCATACATTTTTAGAACTATTTGGATTTCAAAATTCAGATTAAGACTTGTGGCCCTGTCAGACCAGATCAGATGCTAGAGTTAGACACACTTGGGTTTGAATTTTGACTCAAGCACTTAGAAGCATTATGAAGTTGGGCAAATTTCTTTACTCTTCAGTGCCTCCATGTAACCAGCTGTAAGATAAGAATGATAGTACCTATTATTAAGTAGAAATTGTGGTGAAGGTGAAAATGTGCTAGACATTTAACATTAGCACATTGGTACAGCTTGGAATACAGAGTCCATTATAGCACACTCACTATTAAGGATGAGGTTGATAAAGCAGAACTGTCTGAGGTCATGTAGTACAAGATCAAATAGTTCTTCTACTTAGGAGGTCCTGAAAGCGTAACTGCCTTCTAGTTCTGTGGTCACTTGATGATTTTCCATAATTGGAGTAAAGTAGGCTCAGTGTCCCCATCACCCAACTGTTTCAGATGAAAGGGCTTGATGCTTACAGCTTGATGCTGCACTCTGGATAACTCAACAACAAGGGGTTGTTTCAAATTCTGTGGTTCTTGTTGAGTGCCACAGAGTAGGTTCCAACTCATAGGACCTTGTAAAGGGTTTCTGAGGAGCAGCTAGTGGGTTTGAACGGCTGACCTTATGGTGCTTATCCTACAGCACCATAGTCAAGGCCAAATTTGGGGGAACATTTTATTCTAGCCTTGTTGGACTGTCAGTCTTTTATAAACAAGTATAGAAAGACACTTGATATTATCAGTCTCCATACGCTACCTCCCCAGTGCACTTGTTATAATGCCTCACCTATGGTAACTTCTCAATTACTTATTGGAAGAAGAGCTAATACTTTCAGAAGTTTGTATTTTTTAAAAAGAATAGCTGGAAAATCTTGGGGTTTTTTTTTGCTCCTACATTCTAATTTAGCTTTAGGGACAAATTCTTTGTACTCAGATACCTTAATTATATATCAGCTAAAGCAAGGGGATAAGTCTTTTTTAGTTAGTTAATTAGTGAGCCTAAAAATAAATATGAAATGCCTGATATTTTAACCTTTCTGTGGCTCGCCTCTTTTCTTATAGGTTGAAAGTGTTTCACCCTATGCATTAATGCCAGATATTCCATTTAAATAAAAAATTTCTCTCATATCAAACAGATGTTCCACAGACAAGACAAAGAAGGAGTGGAGCATATGAGGGGGTTTGGAAAATTCTAACTTGGGCGACTGCAAAGAAGGCGTTGACTTAAATGCACTCACGTATTTTTTTTTTTTTAAGCTTTTCATCCTAATTTGATGACCTTTCTATTCTTTTCCGTCTTCTGTTTGGTTTTTCGTACTTGGCCCTTTCAGTGGGAAGCTGAATGTAATGAAAAGGTATGAGTTTCTCTCTCTAGAAAGCTTCCGTACAAGTTTCCATTCACTCACATGAAGAGGCTTCTT